AATGGGGTATGGATAGTCATGGCTGACTGATAGCCAACAGCGATACTACGACTAGCATACTGGTGATGACTGGTCTTCGAACTGAAATAACTCTTCAGTCATGTCTTTTCGCGAAAAACAGTACCTGGCTTACTTATTTGTGTAGCTGCGCCATTTTCCTGGTCTCGGGTATCCCATCCCGAGACCAGTCATCGATGGCAGGTGAGCTCCAATCTGCTGCTAATTACCCATGGAATAGCCCACATTTTCCAAGTGAGGTCGAAATATCAGATTCGGCTAGAAACTTGTCCCCAGGGGTAATTTGACCCGCTGAACATGAATATCATGGTATTTCATTGCAAAACCCTTGTGACATGTGTTACGAGGGGGACAGAAACAACCACTCTTCCAGGCCACAGTGGGTCTATAATTTCAGGAAAAAACTATGGCAGGTTCGCTTACAGCATAGTTCAGGGTAGCAGAGGTATTAGAAGCTGTGTCGGCCATGTTGTTCGACAGTGCAAAAATGTGACCTATCGCGGAACGATCCCACGACCTCTCCTCTAAGAAACCCGCTCGCTACCTGTTGCGCTGTACTACCACGTTACCGAAGCGACTCCATACATGTATTCAAAGGAACTTCTCGTTACCGCGTTATAGCATGTGAAACACCACGCGGGGATAAAACCCTCCATAACTCCGTTCAGAGAATCGTTCCGCAAATTCTGAAGGTAGATTTGAGTTCACTGTCCCAAGACGCGTACAACGGTGTGCAGCTCATTGGAAATGGCCAGGCTGACCTGTTGACCTTTCCTGGCTAGATCTTCGAAATTTGCTAAAGAATCAGAATAAATAATCAGTTGTTATGATGTAATCGTCAAGTAGAGGAAGGTCAGGAGTAAGCGAGAGAGCAATTAAGTCAGGCGACCCCACAGGCAAGTCTCCCAAGAGGCATGATAGGTGTGAAGTGAGATCCTCTAAGAATATCACATGTGTGTTCTTAAGGATCTCATTTCACACCTATCATGCCTCGGTGTGTGGTGTTCTTAAAAGATCTCACTTCACACCTATCATGCCTCTTGGGGAGACTTGCCTGTGGGGTCACCTGACTTAATTGCTCTCTAACTTACTCCTGACCTTCCCTCCAATTGATGATTACGTCGTAGTAATTGATTATTTCCTGCTGATTCTGTAGCAAATCTTAAAGAGCTAAGAATCATCAGGTTGACCTCACGTCTTATTGGCAGAGGAACATATGGGACATGTTGAAAAATAAAAAGAGGAAAAAAGAGGAAAAAAAGGGAAAAACGCGCAGGGCCTACTAGTAATTAACAAGGATAGCAAATGTTAAATATCTTAAATGCAAACTATGTGTGTAGCTGTCATAAAATGTAAACATGCGTACAAACTTGCACCAAATCTGTGTTATATGAAAGATAGGATATGTTCGTAGTAGCCACAGTAAGTTCGAAATAGCTACAGTAACATGGAACAAATGTGGAGTTAACAAAAAGACACAGTATTGAAAGCATAGAGATATGAGGGAACGTCAATCGACGAAATCGCAGTCTAGACCGGGATGGAAATATAAAATAAGAACGACCGCTGGCCCCGTGTTGGACCAGTGGTCCTAGCACTGGTGCCGGAGGCAATCGCCCCATAGAAAAAAAAGTGAGCGAAGGAGTTTGGAATGTGAGAAACAAGATATGACCCGTAAGACGGAACTGGTATTTCACTGAACTCGGGTTACCCTCGAAGTTCAATGAACACCAGCAGAGTCCAATTAGAAACAAGGAAACAATTATTGGGGAAAGGAATACACTTCGAAGCACCCGTTTCGCCCGTTATCGCAGAATCATCGATGTCTTACCAACCCCCCGGGCTCTTCAGTGCGACAGGGTTGACGACATGGACATGGACTACATAGGGGAAGGAGTTAAGAAATAGGATAAAACGAGAAAAAATGTAAAAAAGTTGACATGCAAAATTCATGCAATAAAGATGAGAAGGAATTGTACAGGAAAAATGAAAGAAGGATATAACAGGTGTGAGTACTAAAAACGCTCAAGAGGAAGAGAAATGGATTGCTAAACGAAGTAGGGAAATATTGAGTAAAAGGCACTGCAGCGGATTACAAAAAGTTAAATCAAAAATTTAGTGGTAAAAGGAGAGCTAGTGTTGAACACCGCTGCCAATGAGAATACCTCTAACCAGTCTACTTATCTTTCTATAGTTATTTGCAATAGAGTATTTGTAACTTATAAATTTATTTTTGTAAATACATTTCACAATGCTAGTAATAATAAAATCTTCTTCGTAGCCATTTTTCGAAAGAGTCGTGACCATATCCGTTATTTTGCTTACGAATAAGTAATATCGAAGAACGAACAAGTGTTTGTTCTGCTATATATTCGTGTAACCTCAACGTTTCCGTATATATAACAGAGGCTTTGTTAATAAGGGAAATGTTTGTGTCACTATACGGAAATCTGATTACATTGAAGCTAAAATCATCCGTTTTATTATACAGCTTGGTACTAATTTTACCGTTAGTAATATTGATTGTTAAATCTAACGCTAGAAACTTCACTTTATGAGTTTTTTCAATTGAAGGGTATTTTGATAAACTTGAGAAAGTTGTTCATCCACATCACCATCAGTTTGGTTATGTACAACAAGCAAATCATCCATATATCTATATGGAATGAACAGCTTACTGTTATTAAACTTTTTGGATTTAGCATAGTAATACCCCCATGACAGAAAGCGTAAGATCTGCCAATAAGGTAAGGCAGTACAAGGATATGTGGATAGAAATTATAGGCACGTTGTCACAGGAAATGTAAATCTCATAAAAGATGGTTCCAGAAGATAGCTGAGTAAAGGAACCAAATATAGATCAGACACAGGTATAACAAGACAAGAAGTTAAGAATGGTGTTTGAAGATACACTCAACAAGATAATAAATTATTTTAAATATAAATACAAGGCTAGCAATCACAAGGATTAATCTATTACAGAAACAATTTATACATTATTATATTTATACATTACATAATCTACATTTATACAATTTTCGTTTATTTGGCCATGACAAAGTAAAACTTCTACTGACAAAGGCTAATATTGAAAATATAGGAGAACACATACCTTACAACTAATCAAACAATATCAAGAAAAATACGTGTTCTGTCCTCTCGACAAAGCAAATAATAACTATGGCATCATCTGCAAGAAGTTCTACCTTTTGAACATAATGCATGAAATGGGCATTTCTTATGATGCTGCCAACCACACATTTGTCTATGGAAACAGTAATAACACATATGAATTAATGCCTCATACTAACAAGTATTCTTTAATATTGAAGCACAAATTCCTTTGTGTAAAGAATAATATCAATATATCTTTGTTTCTAATTGAGCCATGAGTAAAAGCGTTTTTTTTTGTCACGCAAATTTAATGACAAATGTTGCCAATATGTTCTACACTGTTTTATAGATAATTTTCCGCACTATAGATAGTATAATTGCCTTCTTACTATTTCTCGACTTGTGTCGATTTTTATTTCATTGAAAGGGAAATTCGGGTCGACCCAAAAGTGAGTTTTCGACAACTACTTTTTGAATTTTATCTCGGCTCTCAATCTACAGAAGAAGCTCAAACCTTGTGATAGTATATATGACCAAAGAAAGATGCGTCTTATGACAGCTTGAAGTTGGTTCAAGCGATCAAGAGGTGGGAATTCGGACCTTGTAAAAGAATCTCGCGTGGGGGCCCTCCTTGGGGAGAGACTGCCTGCAGAACCTACCCACTTATTTTTGCTCACTTACGACGACACTCCAGTTTAAGCACTCAAATATCAGTGGAGAAGAGAAACTTCAAGAAAACTAAGAAGACTATCGTTCAGGCAAGGAATCCTCTGCAAAACGTATGAAAACTCAATGGCAAAACTTTTTTGTTCAGCGCAATGTTTCGAGTGAAGAAAAAAGCGCCACTACTTATAGACCGACCCAGTACAATGTGAAAAACAATCATATATAACAATCAAAGGTGAAAAGCATGCTAAAATGAATCAAAATGAAACACACAAATAAAGGCTTAGATGGTAGTGTTAGTAACAAATCTAGACATTTTTCACAGTATTCCAGGGTTCAGATCAGTTTGAATACCTTACGTGGCGTGAAAACAATAGAACTTTTTTTGAAGACATGCCCTTTTTTCCCCATTTAGATTGTAGCGATTCCATACTGTGTACGTCTGCTTTTCACTTGCTCCCAGTGGTTGAGTGTGTTCTTGAATTTTAAATCTATCAGAGGCGACCCCACGGGTGAGTGTACCTAGGGGTGAGAAAGGTAAGAACTCCTTCATTAGAACGCGGAGGCAGATGCGTTTTTAGTGGGATATTGGGATCCGGGATATGGAGTGTGCAGACTGCAATCAAAAGCTGCGGCCGAGATCAATACACCCCCCTTTTCTGCCAGTTACGTTCACTACTCATACTTCAACAGTCTGTACGAGAACTTGCAGAAATTGCCCACTAATCGACCAGCAGTGTCAACTTAAATCAGAGTTAATGGATGAGAGTACGGCATTGTGATGTGTGAAATGGCGGTCTCTAAAACTCTATGATTTGGTAGTGTAAAGGCTCCAGCAATTTGACTGAACAGCATTGGCAACGTTCCTTATCACCCCCCCCCCTCCCAGCTCCCATTCATAAGTTCATAAGGCAGCGTTCAGACTTGTAACGTTACAGCTGTAGCGCGACGTAGCGCTACAAGTCTGGAGGAAGGGAAGTCGTAACATATTAGGCTGCCTAATATGTTACGACTTCCCTTCCTTATATTACTTACTCTCTGAGTTTTCCGAAACATCAGAAATGGTAGTTGCAGGGGACCTCCAGTCTCAGCGACTAAGTAGGGTGCACCCTTTGATGGGATCTCAACGGCACTGCTAAAATATGCGTCCGGCTATGGAAGCAGAAGCGTTTTCAGGTGACGAACACTTTATCAAAACATACCTCTCTTTCAGTTGCATTTTTGGTGAATTTTGGAGCCAGAAAGAACTGCGCAAAGCGGTCGAGAGCTCCCTGAATGCACAAATTAGAAATCGTCTTCAGGTCTGTACCCTCCAAGGCACACTTCACGATCAGCGGAGTAGTTCAATAATCTCGATAAGTAGATACCTAGGTCCACAACCAGCAGGGTTTTCGCGAGCGAAAGTGAGCGTTAAGACCGTCACTGAGGCTCCAGAGGTGCATGCCGGCGTGCTGCACCAACGCGCAGGCAGCACAGTACATGCTTGACCACCGCTCGTTTACTCGTTCTCCTTTCTACGCCCGCAGCCGCTCTTGTTCGCATAATCGTACAATGCTCGGCAACACCATTTCGACATTATTCTATGCGCATCTTCACTGCTGGGTTAGGCAGCGTTCAACTCCGCGACAGTAGCGGTGATCGCGGCGATCTTAGCGATCGTCGAGGTAGCCGCGATCGTCGGTACGAGTCAGAGCGCGCCCCAATGCTGTTACTTGGACCGCTCTCTGATAAATGATGAAATTCAATTTTGAGACTTTTTTCTCTTGATAATGGCCACTAACTAGAAATTTTCTCTAATGACGAGGATCTGGAATATGGCGAAGGGGGTACTCACCTTTTTTCTTGAAATCAGAATGAGGGCATCTTCAATTGAAAGGTGAGTTTTTTTGTTTCTTTTGTTTTCATTGTTTCATTTTATATGAGTGTCTTAAAATTTCCTATTGGTTAAACTGTTCCAACTTCCAAAACATTTTTAGTTTACAAGTCGAATTCAAACAACGAAAAAAAGAAATAGAATGAAACCCACCCAGGAATCGAAACACTAATGTTTTATGCAACATCAAGGAGGAGGAAACTTCATAAATTCATGTATAAGCTCGAAGAATGAAAAAAAACTACGAAACTTGTCCCAAATGAAGCATCCACGCTCTTTGTTCATTTCTTTTCTGAATCACAAAATAGAATAGAAAAAAGCCATCAACTTTGGTCCACATTTCCCAGCGTCAAAACAAGCTTTCATATCAGAGACAACTGTATTAAAAGAAAAGAAAGCACGACATTGAGCCGGTTCTCCCTAGTAGCACTCCAAATAACAGCAGGTCCAGGTAACAGCATTAGGGCGCGCTCTGATCGTAACGACAATCGCGGCGACCTCTGCGATCGCTACGATCGCTGAGGTCACCGGTCGCCGCGATCGCCGCTGCTGTAGCGAAGTCTGAACGCTGCCTTACTTAGCGCCTCACTCTCATATTTGGACTGCACGATTTTTAACCGTGAAATGTGCCTTTGTTTTCAAGTGCAGTATTATTCCTTGCAAACGATAGGGCGTGCAAAAGGGCATTAATTGGAGCCCAGAACAGTCTCTCCTGCTAATTTTTGCAGACTAGGGATGAGATCATTGTTTGGAAGAGGCGGCTTGGAAGCCTTCCACGCTCCTTTACACTCTCTATCGTCGTTTGCAGGGATTGTAACTAGACTATGGTGGCGAGCTCCAAGTCTCCTATAAGGGTATGCTGCCTCTACTTTCGAAGCGAACAGTGACAGAATGCGCTGCCCATGTGCGATCAGCGGAAGGAGCGGAAACGGTTTAAAATAGATTTTTGCAGTGTTCCAACAACAGTACCGCTTAACATGACCGGTTTCTGCACGAAATTCCAAGGAATCGAGAGAATCGCCCACCTTTAATTCGTTCGGCTTTATACAGAAGTAATAACTTGTGTGGTCGAGGCCTGTTCTAGCGTTGTACTTCCCACCGTTCTCCACAATAAACTCAAACGTTTAAGAATTAGAACATTGATGAGGTTTCCATAAAATTACTCCTGAATCTCAACCAATTTTCTTGTCAATTTTGACTTGTGAGGAATTCAGGGCCTGATCACGAATAAGAGCAGCTGCAAATTCGGCTTTCGACGCCGCTATTCCTGAGTTTGCAGATTTGGCATGCATGCTTAGCACCGTCGCCATTGGGCGCGAGCATGGAGCTGGCGCAAGTGGGTTTCACCGCATCACCTTATTCTTCAAAACTGATGTGAGCATGCAAACAAGGGCCATTCCACTTGAAAACACAATATCATTTCCCCGCAGCAGTATGGAACCTCTCGCAAAATTCCCAACACCACAATCCTGTTGAAGGAAATTTAAGCGTCCTGACCACTAAGATCATATTCGTTTTTCAGAGCCAATCGTCGCTCTTCCAAGGCTGAACGTGGGATTAGCAGTGATCCCTGCCACTGGTCTCAGTCCTAGCTAGGCGTACGCTAAGAAAATGGTCCCTTTAGTAACGGTGCGGGAAATTCGTAAGTGGGATTCCAATTAAACCCAGTATGATGCTTTATATACATTTAGTGAAACACGATGGTGGCGCCTATCGGCTGCCAATGGCGCCCGTAGCGAGAGCGAAAGCTTCAATAGCAATGATATCAAGCTGTCTTGGTATGTGAGCTCTTCCAGTATAAAGGATAAAGGATAAAGTCTTCGCCGTTGATCAATCCCTTTGTGGGATGCGGCACGCATTCTACTTCCATTCAGAATCGTAGTGGCTTATTGAATGCGATGTGGCCTATACAATGACTTGCGGTGGCCAGCCGATGTACAAGTCAGTGTTTTATCCTCCCAGACGAATCTGGTACCAATTCACCGTCCCCGGAGGGTAGAAGGCTTGGTTGGCCTGGGCGGGAGTCGACCCGGGATTTGAACCCAGGACGCGCGAGTGGTGAGCGCGCCACTTGTCACTACATCACCTCCTGCCCGAGCTCATTCCATTATTGTTGAAAAAGGTGGTGAGGCCACCTTACATCGATTTCGTGAAAAACAGCACAGCGCCAAACAATCAGAACATCAAATTACCCAGTGTGCCACTTTATTCCAACTCCGGTGAAAAAAGGTGTTAGGGCAAACTTCCATCGGCACCATTCTGGCATCAAATGTCTCGGCACCAAGAACAGTGCTGTATTCATAATCTGGAAGTCAAAAAACCCCGGTATGCCAGTTTGTATCAATTTAAATTAAAACCAATCCGATCCTACTTACACGTGTAAAGAGGGCCCCCGCCCTCCAGCCTCAGGGCCAGCCGGATCGCCCGTGAGTCCCTGGCCTTCCAACCTGAGGGCCAGTCGGATCGCCCGCCTTCACAGAAAAGTTTTTTTTTGCAATTCCAGAACATTGCCGTTTCACATTTGGTATATACCCCCTAGTGGACGGTTGTGAAATTTTCGTAAAGGCAAGGAGGTGAGAAGCCGGTACTGGATGCTTAGTGAATGACCTGAAGTTGAAGTATGGGTGTATTTGGTTGTTGTGGAATAAATAATAGGTAAATAAGTAAATAAACAAATAAATAAATACAAATAAGTTATGAATTTTCGATTTCGACCTCATGTTCACTGCTATTCTCATTTGTCTTGCGACGAAATTATGAACTTTTGCAGCAGGCACCGCCAACTCGGCGCACACCTCATTCGCTGGGGTGTCTCTCCCTTACTTCATCTGGCTTCCCGCTGTCGCCCTCCGAGCATATTACCCATCCCTCGGGTTGCTCAGGATGCGTTTTGAAAATTTTTATCCTTGGCACCGTTCACTTCTGCCTACGCCCCGCCCATTGTGGGCGGAGCCTAGGTTACCTTGTAGGTGTTCTGTAAATGTTGACCCATGCCACAACCATCCCAAGCTTGATCCGTTCCCTAGAAGTG